AAGACCGTGGTGTAACGCGTGTAGTCGTCGACGACCAGCAGGAAGTACCGCTCGCGGCCCTGCCCCTGGACGCGGGCTGGGCCCCACACATCTAGGTGGAGAGTCTGAAGTGGAGCCTCTGGGGGAGGGAACGAGGAGGATTGAGGAGCGGCGCGCTGCCGCCCCTCGACGCAAGGAATGCAGGGCGGGGCAGGCGAGGGAGGGAGGGCGGGCAGAGACCTGGGAAGGCCAGAGACCAGTAGGCGAGAGTGCATGCCACGAAGGCGGGGTAGAGAGGGGTGACCAAGGCGGTGGTGCCACAGGAGAGTGTCGTGCGACAGGCGGCGACACTCACACTGGGTAGCTACCTGAGCAGACGCGTACAGCTGAGGAGACACAGGGGTGTAGCGCGACACAGTGGTGAGGGTGTACAGACTGGACCCTGGCGCACGTGTGAACGTGGCCAGATGGCAGCCAGTTCTCGAGCACGTGCAGATCGTCACACGCTGTCCTCCAGGAGTAAAGGTGTCAACCCAGTGATCCTGAAGGACGGCGTTGCTCACTAGGTTCGTAGAGAACGAGGGGATGTGGAAACTTGACAGCTCACCGGACGGGACCGCCGGACACGGGAGCACAGTACTGGACCGTGCAAGCACTGGGCCCCCAGAGGGGTCAGCCAGTGAGACAGGGACAGGTGCAGGGAGGGGAGTGACGGTGGTGCTATCGCGAAAGAAACAGCGGGAAGCACCTGAGTCAAGCGTGAAGGTGTGCAAAGCCTCAGCAGGCGCAGTATCAGAGAGAGCAGACTCACTAGTACCTAGGGCTGCAGTCTCTATACCTGGGTCAGGCGGCACACACAAGTAGCAGTCACCCTCAGCACTAACAGTCAATGCATACATAGCAGCAAGAATCGCATCATAGTCAAGATCAAAGATAGGAACATCACGCCTAAGCAGGTCTGCCCAGTTGGGCAACTCAGTAGCATCAGGAAACTTGGCGCGCCAAGCGTCTCTAAGCCTAGCAAAACAGCGGTACTCAGTGTGAAAGCCGTTGCATGGGCGACCAGCGCGGGGACCGGCGCGAATGACATAGGGGCAGCGACCAGGACCCCCAGACCCCCCACGCTGAGCATACCAGTCATGAAGCTGCTGAGACGTGGGGGTCTGGCGCTGACGCTGCTGCTGCTGCTGCTGCTGTGGCTGCTGCTGCTGCTGCTGCCCCTGGCCGCCACTGGGGCTCCCCTTCGGGCCGGCCGCACCCAAGCCCCCACCTCCGCCACCACTACCGCCGCCTCCTCCCCCACTACCGCCGCTGCCTCCTCCACCGCTCCCAGTCCCACCGCCGCCCCACCCACCGCCTCCACCCCCACGACCACCCCCACCACCTCCACCACCCCCGCCGCCTCCACCACCGCTCCCTCCACCGCCACCTCCACCACCCTTGCCACCCTTGCCGCCCCTGGTGCCGCTGCGCTTCCCACCTGGAGTGGAAGCAGCTGCGACCTTCTCAGCACCGAGGAGGTCGATGGCAGTAGCAGCAGAGGCGTAGGAGGGGGCAAGAGGGGAGGGGGAGCACCCCTCAAAGAGGGGAGTGCGAGGAGTGCCACGAGCAGCACCTACAGCGAGGATGTTCTTTTCTGCTGCTAGGAGCTGCTGCTCGAAGTCGGCTAGAGTGAGAGTGGTAGGGTCTTTGGCGAGGAAGTGGTCCCTGACTGAACTGAGAGTGTCAGGGAGGCGGGTGACGAGGATGTAGAGGGTAAAGTACAACAGGGGGGGGGGGGGGGGGGGGGTGTCTTGGCGAGGAAGTCGTCTGTAAGGGCGGCACGAAAGCGAGCGTCACTAGCGCGGAGGTGAGAGATAAGGTCCTCAGCGGTGGCAAACGAGGACAGGTCTGGGAACAGGTAGGGCAGGATGAGACAGCCTACAGCTGTAGTGGCTGGGGACGAATAGCGCGCAACTACAGCGTCATACAGTGCCTTAGCAGTCTTGTGCTGGCTAAAATGCGCGCGCTCAGTGATCGGCAGATGATTGCGAATAGCGAGGCGCGCAGCAGCATCGCGAGTCTGCCACTGTGAGCGGTCAAGAGCAGTAGCAGAGTCAGTAGGAGCAACGGCAGTGCCAGACGTGTGATCGAACAGTGAAACGCCGTCTTTTGCATCAGTCATAAGAAACAGTTGCAGGTCGTCGAGCCAAGTGGCAAACTCAATCGGGCGACCGTCAGGCTCAAACGCGTGAACATTAAGTGTCGCCATAATCGCAGCGCAGGCTAAGGCAGCAGGCACAGGCAGCAGGCACAGGCAGCAGGCAAAGGCACGAAGCGCAGGCAGCAGGCTCAGGCAGCAGGCTCAGGCAGCAGGCAAAGGCAGCCGCAGGCGGGGCAGGCGGCCGCGGCAGTAGGGCTGGCGGCGCGTGGCGCTGCGGGGCAGCGTGACGGGCGGCGCGTGGGGCCGCGGGGCTGCACGACGGGCTGTGCGCGGGGCTGCGGGGCAGCACGGTAGGCGGCACGAGGGGCCGCGGGGCAGCGCGACGGGCTGGCAAGGCGCGCGCTGGGCTGCGGGGCAGCGGAACGGGCGGTGCGAGGGGCTGCGGGGCAGCGCAACAGGCAGAAAGGCAGGGCGCGGGGTAGCACGGTAACCGCGAGCGGTTGGTGGTGGGCCCTAAAAAATCGATCCTACGGTCCTAGGGACCTTCTGCTTTGATAACATGACAGAATGAACTACGGTAGTAGGAATGATGAAACTAGCTTCAGGTTGGGTACAAATATGAAACCCTAAAGGGGCTATACCCCATATTGGCTACCCCACTACAGCCTACACATATATAGTACATATATAATTTGACAACCGCCACCCAGAAGGGAGCTTCCCATCGTTCGCTGCCGGGCAGATGTGGATTTCCTGGTGGGATTCGCGGGGTATTTCATGGATCCTCCTGCATGCACCCACTGCAGCACCTATTTGGGAGACTTCATGAATTCGTGTGCATCGCTGCACTCATTGCCAACTTTGCCTACCGCCCCGTCAGCCATCTGTTCTCCCGCGTGCTCTCAGTCTTCCCGCCTTCCTCCCGTGGCTTTGACGAGGTCGTTGAGTGCATGGACTTCCCACCGCACCTGCCCAGGCCGCTAAACCTGCATTTGCTGCTGAGGCGAGCCGAGCAGGCGCCTCTGTACTTTCTCATTCGCATGGCAGTGTGGTTCACACATTTTCTCTTGGGGGCTGATGATGAGTTTGAGGAGGAGTGCAGTGTTAGAGGGCGGGCGGGATGGTCCAAGGTGCAAGGCCGCTGGGATGATGAGGCGGATCAGGAGAGCGGTGGGGAGGTGTGGGAGGAGGTGTGGATGTGGTATTCCGCAGCAACTGCTGCATGGAAGTTCAATGTGGGGAGCGAGGGAGAGAGCGAGGAGTGTAGAGGCGGCAGGAACGGAGAGAGAAGGGCAGAGGAGTGGGACATGAGGCGGGCTTTTGAGGCAGCGATCGCACCGAGGTACTGTGAGGGGTTGCAGCGTGGGTCTGCCGAGGGGAGCAGCAGCACTACCAGCAGCAGCAGTACCGCCAACAGCACTGCCAGCAGCAGCAGCAGCAGCAGCAGCAATCGTGCTTCAAGGGTTGGCAGCAGCAGCTCTAACAAGCGGATTGAGAAGCAGGGGGGGAGCCGGCTTATCTGAAGGCTTGGCCAGGGGGAGTCAACGTGGTGGCATGATTGCGAGAGATGCTGCTGGGAGATCCTTGCTACCGCCCTGCCTCCCCTTCTGTGAATCCCATCAGTGCATTGAGGTCGTTTTTGAGGCGCCTCAAAAACGACCTCAATGCACGCTGGTTCTTCTGCCCCTGCTGCTGTCAGCATCCATGCTGGTGCTGCTGATGCTGCTGCTCCAGACGTGTAAGGCCGTGTGTGTGGTGCTGCAGGGTGTGGGAAGGAGGAGGGCGGTGGTGAGAAGCTGAGGAGGTGCGGTGGGTGTGGCAAGGTGGCGTATTGCAGCAGAGAGTGCCAAAAGGCGCACTGGCCAACCCACAAGCTCACATGCCCCTCCAAGACCAGCGGGAAGAGGAGTGGGGAAGATGGGAACAAGGATTGCAGCTGGAAGACAGGTGAGGAGATGTTTTTTAAAGGAGGCGACACAAAAGTTGGTGCAGGGAGGTGTGGGGATGGTGGAGAGATGATTGGGGTGGTCAGGTGCAGAGGCAGGTACATCAACAGTGCCAGGCACAGCTTCAAACGAATGGGCAAGGAGGCTGGCCAAGTCGAGAGTGGGAAGGAAGAGTGAAGTTGAGTGGAGGTCAGAGGGAGGAGGAGGAGGATGCCCTGTGCTTCCTGGGTGGTGGAAAGTGATTGCGAATACAGAGGCGCAGCAGCTGTGGCAACGGTTTGTGGTGTGAACAGAGGTGCTGTGGCGGAAGCGTTACAGAACATGTGGGAGTTTTGATTATTGAGGCAAAAGTAAGAGATAGCTGTGGTGTGAATGAACTGCGGACCAACTCAGTAAAATGTTCCTGAACCGTTTCTTACAGGGCTCAATTTATACAAGTGAACAATTTTCTTTCTCCTTGTAGGTGAAAAAATGGCTGACAACTCACCCAGGTCACACAAGTATTAAGCAAGCTCGCGCCTGCAATTAGCCTAGAAAGAACCTTCGCCAGGATTGCCATGGCAAGAACCCGCCTGCACAGCACAACCAAGAAGAACATGGTTACTGACTGCTCCTAGCTGCATGCCCAGCAATACCAAGTAACATCCACCCAGAAATGCGTAGCAGGCAGTTAGTGGAGCCCTCGCTACCCACCACAGCAGGCAGAGCCAGAAAGGGAGCGTTTCCCCAGGTGGTGCAGGTGAGAGTAGGTGGTGATGGTGAAGCATGTGAGGGGTTGCATCATCGAATCACTCACACGTGCCACCGCCCTTCGCACATTCACACATGCAACAGCCCTTCGCACGGTTCACGCATGAAACAGACCGTACACACATGCAAGCCACGCCCCTTTACACTCTCACTGTGCCACGCCCCTTAACACTCGCACTCACCGCAGGCGGAGCAGCGGCGGTAGAAGCGCCCCACGAGCTGCAGCCCCGATCCCTGACACGCCTCACAGCGCCGCTGCGCCGCCTGAGAGGAGAGGGGCGAGGGGTTGGGTGAACGGGCAAGGACAGAGAGGAGGGGAGTGGAGGATGAAGGGTGGTTGGGAGGGAGGGAAGGGGGGCAGGGAGGGAGGTAGAGGAGAAGAAGAGAATGTTGGAAAAACATTTAGCATTGATAACAGCGGCAACGCAGCACACAGAGAGACACACAGAGAGACACACAGAGAGACACAAAGGAAGGCACACAGGGAGGCACACAGGGAGGCACACAGGGAGGCACACAGGGAGAGACACCGATAGTCACACAGGGGGCACACAGGGAGAGACACCGATAGTCACACAGGGGGCACACAGGGAGACAGTGCGAGAGAGGTGGGGAGGGCGACTCACAATGCGCTTGCCAAACTCAATGGACGCCACGATGAAGGGGATCACGCCAGCTGGCACGTGGTGATTGGTGCAGAGGCGAGGGCAGAGGGAAAGACACGGACAGGGATGGTGCAGTGCGTGAGGAGGATGGTATGGGACGGGGGGACGCGGAGCATCGGCTTAGCGACGCTTTGACGAGCACATGGATATGAGGTGGGCCGAAAGGAAGGTTGCATGTGTGAGTCCACCTTCCTTTCTGGACTCACGTTCTTTGGCTGTTCTATCTGCGTATGTTCTCCGTATGCTCTCTTCCTGCTCTCCGTCTGCTTTCCGACTGCTTTCCGACTGCTCTTTGTTTGCTATCTGTCTTCTCTCCATCTGCTTTCCGTCGCTCTTCGTCTGCTCTCTGTCTGCTCAACTCACAACTCACCGATTGCACCAACCACGATTTGCCACGTCACCTCCGACCGTTCTCCGCCTCCAGCCACCCCCAGCTCACCCGAAGCACCAGCAGCAGCGGCGGCGGCGGCGGGGGACGAGTCTGCCAGGCTAGCAGCCGCGTGGGCGACATAAGCGGAGGAGGCTATTTGGCCTGCAAGGGCAGCGGCGAGGTCTGCCGCGTCTGGCGGAATGGCTGAGCAATGCACGCGATGCCGGGAAAGCTGCGCATGCGAATGCAAATGCGAAGGCGAATGCGAAAGCAAGAGCGGACGCGTCTGCGAGGAAGGAAGATCTCTTGTCGTGCTTCGGTCGCTGGCCGTCTCAAAGCCCCGGGACTGCGCCGCGGCTGCGCGGTGGTAGTTCTCGCGGTTAGGCTCTGCGCGCGTCGCCGCAACGGCGGAGAGTTGCGAGCGACAAGGCGGAACAGAAAGGCGCTGCGGAGGAGGTGGAGCGCTTCGGAGAGTCTGAGAAGCTGCGGCCACGACGCGTGTGGTTAGTGAAGAGAGAGCGAGCACGTGGTCGGAACGCGCTGAGTGCTTTCAGCCGGCGTGCTGCTTCTCGATGCTGCTACGCGTGCGTGCCCGTCAAGCGACCCACTAAATGAAAGCGTGATAGACAGCGCCATTGTCGCAACCACTACGGGAGAGCAACTACAGATTCAGTAATGCAGCAAGGGACTCGAGTTTTGTGGAATGAAGACCAAGTCGTAAAGAGGAAAGCACGGAGAGCACGCACAGCATATTTTTGTGCTGGGTTGAATCTGGACGACTAAGGAGTTCTTCTGAGCGGTCCGTTATCGTCATCGTGGAAGTCTCTAAATGTGTGTCGACACAGATGAATTCTGTGATGTACGAGTAGACACGTTGCATGAGAAGAAGCAACGACAGGCTGAGGGCGTGTTTGGTAACGATGAGAAATCGTAAGGGTCGGGGTGGGGTCGAATCACTGGAGCCTCATGCCAGAAAATCTGTAGTGTAAAGAACCGAAGATTAAGCTGCTCACGCTCCTTCCTCCAAACAGCGAACGACTAAACACGCTGTGATAAGCATAATCCTGATTGGGAAGATATCTGAGTACGTTGGTTACACGAGCTAGGAAAATTTCCGTTCTCCATATCTTTCAAATTGGTTACTTGAGCAAGGAAATTTTCCGTTCTCCATCTTTCCAAATTTGATTTCGAACAAAGCACACCTTTGTCATATTTCACAAACAACACCCACCGCTATCAATTTTCTTTATCGATAACAAAATTAAAACAAAGATTTAGTACGTATTTGGAGTCTATAAATTATGTTTTGAATAATAGGAAAGAATGAACAGCACGTTTATCAGTCTGAAAGGTGATCTGTACCCACCTTATATATATAATTAAATATATATTTCAGTGTCGTCTGTAACTTTCCTTACCGCCCGAGGCAGCTTTGCCAAACTACATTCCCATGGGCCTGGCACCCCAAGGTCTAGCCGACTATCCATCCATCTTCCATTCGTGCATCAACACCTTCCATACCTTCTATCATGCCCGCACTTGCCTCGTCTCATTGCATACGCGTTAATGGAGACCGCTCCTAGAGCTCATCCCCCGTCTGCGCCGAGACCCGACCGCGGCGCGGATCGCCCGTTATCACGGCCGTTCCCCACGTCAAAATCCGAGAAGGCGAGACCGCAGAGCCAATCAGGTTCCGACACGTCTCAAAGCACAACACCGCGGGCCCAATCACTAACACGGCTGCAACCTTCGCACCCATCCGTACCGCCCCGAAGTCCTCATGCTGCAGGCAATCCCGCATTACGAGGCTCTGCAAGCCACGAAAATCTGAGACTAGGTTCGGATTCCGAACCTGAATCGAACCACGGTGACGAGCCAGGCGGGATTGCATTCCCAGGACTGTCAGGTTCGGCTGGCAGAAAGGTCGCCTCTGCGGTTTCCAGAGCCTCCGCCGCTCGGCATGCGTTTCAGCGGAGCGTTTCCGCCTCGAGCGGTATTCCCGCGGAGACCTGGGCGCGCGGCGCAACTTCACGCGGGCGCAATCTGCCCTCCCGATCATCTGACGTGGACGGTGGATCCGACGGCGTCGATTCACTTAGCTTAGACGAAGTTAGGTCCGATGGCGGCGGCGCGTCGTGGCCAGAATCCATGGATCCCTTAAATAACGACGGATCTCCTCATTCCCGCGCTCTCCCACATTCCCCACTTTCCGCGCGCTCCGATTCCGCCAGCCCAAGTCGGATGCCGCCAGGGCGCGGTAGACCCGGAAGAATGAGCCCTTCAGGGAAGGGGGGGGGGGGGGGGCGAATTTGCGCGTTCCGCCTCGCAGCCTCTACGGAAACTAGACGCAGTCAGACCCGCCGCCGCACACGCCTCCGAACCTTTCCCCCCTTTCCGGCGGTTCCTCCGCGCATGGTGCAGCTGCTCCGCCAGGCCTGCCTCCCGCGCGGAGGTCTTTGGAACCAGGGCAAGCGCAAACACGCGCGCGCCCGGTGACTGCGGGGAATGCTCCGCCCGTTCAACCAGGAGCGCGCGCAGGCGCGCCCACGCCCCTTGCGGATGGCTCTGAAGGGGGAATGGGGGGAGGAAGGGGGGCAGTGGGCGCGCAGGTCAGGATTAGCGCCGCTACTGCCGCCGCCGCTGCGGCTGCGGGCGGCGGAGGCAGTACGACAGCCATCGTTCCCCCTGGCGGTGGTGGCGGCCTGCGCACTGTGGCGGGGGCGGTGGCGACGCGTTCCCTGCAAAAGAGCGCGAGCGCGCCGCAGGTGCGTCCGAGGGAGGGCGCGTCGAACGCCAGCACGCGCGCCGTGGCGAAGAGGGCCGCCTTGCGGCTGAAAGGACGCGGAAGCGCTGGCGGGGCAGATGCCGGCGCGGGGTATTCCGGAGGGGGCGTTTCCGGTGCAGGCGGTGGTGGTGGGGAGATGTCGGGCGCAGGAGTTGCGGGAGTGGGAACGGGCAGGCCTCGAACGCGCGTGGGGCGGGTGCAGTCGCAGGGAGGGCATGGGACTGCATAGGAGGAGGACAGCCCGCGGCAGTGGTTGGCGCACGCAGCGGGCGCGCAGGGGGCAGGCCCAGGCTCAGGGGGGTTGGGCGCAGGCGGGTTCGCGGCGCCGTCGGATCGACCCACGATGCCCCCCATGCGCGACATGGGCGGCGGCGGTGCTGGTGGGGGTGCGGGGGTGGCGACGGTGGGCGTGGGGATGGTGGCGGGGCGCCCCAAAACGCCCGCGCGCATGGACCTGCACGAGGAGGAGCGCGTGCGCCTCGCTGCCGCCGCCGCCGCGGGTGCGCCTGCAGTAATAGGGGGAGGGGGAGGGGTAGGCGGCGGAGGCGGAGCAGCAGTAGGCGGATTGGGCGCAGGGGGCGCGGTGCAAGCGCCAGTGACTCCGCGCGTGGTAGAGCGCCCCTCCACGCCCCTCGCGGGGCAGCGCCCCGCCTCGCCGCTGCTGCGCGCGGATGGTGGCGCGCTCGAGCGCCCCAAGACGCCCACGTGCAGGCAGGAGGCGGAAGGCGGAGCGCACGAGGGTGGGGGGGCGGCAGCGTGGCCAGAGGGAGCGGCGGAGGGGCAGGTGATGAGCGGCACCCCGCGGCTGAGGGCGGAACGGGGCGGGGAGCGCCCCACGACGCCCACCAGGCGGGGGGAAGTGGCTGTGGTTCCGCGTGGGGAGGGGCGGGTGGGGCGGTTGGAGAGGCCGACGACGCCCCTGCATGGGGCGGACGGCGGGCTGGCCCCTGCATTCGCCACACGTGCTGCAGAACGGTTAGATGTGGAAGCAGAGCGGTTGGGGGCAGCAGAGCGGTTGAATGTGGAAGGAGATAGGTTGAATGTAGACGCAGAGCGGTTGGGGGCAGCAGCGCGGAAACACACAGCAGTGCCGCGCGGAGTGGGCGGCGCAGCACAGGGGCAGGCGGGCAGCCGCGCGGACAGGGCGAGCTTCCGCGGGAAGGTGAGGCCCAAGTCGTTTGTGGAGCGGAACACAGGCGATGGCGGAGGATCAGGAAGGGGGGAAGGGGCGTGGCCGGGTGTGGGAGCAGTGCCGCGGCCCACAACGCCTGTGAGGCGAGGCGATGGGTCCTTGGAACGAGCAGTTGCTCCGGGGGGGAGGGTGGGGGCGATCGGGGGAAGCGGGGACGTGGGAGGAGGAGGACGGGGGGGTTTGGAGGGGAATCGGGAGTGACTGAACGGGCGATGACGCCCGCTAGTAGGATAGGCGAAGTCGATCCAACGGTCATCATGGACCGGCCATCAACGCCGGTCGGCGGCCGCCCGACCACGCCGGCCGGCGCCCGCCCTACAACGCCAGCTAGCGGGCGGCCGACAACGCCGACCGGCGGGCGGCTGGACGTTGCGGTTAACCCGCTGGCACGGGCCAATCGGATGGCGCCGTTTCCCATGCCCCTGTTCCCGCACTCTGCCTCCGTGGGGTGTGTAGGTGTGGGTGAGTTTGACCGGCTGTGTGTGGACCATGGGGAGGACGACGAGGACGAGGAGGAGGGGGGGGAGGGGAGGTATGGAGGCGGGGGAGGGTGTGGGGTGGGAGATGGGGAGGCGAGGTGGAAGAGTGTGAGTGGGGCCGGTGCGGAGGGGGTTGGTGGGTCCAGACTGCATGGTAATGGCAGGGGCGGGGCGGGCGGGGCGGGGGTGCGTGCCGTGCAGCGGCAGCAGCAGCAGCGGCAGCAGCAACAGTGAGGGACAAGGGAGAGAGCAAGGCAGAGGGCGGGGCGGAGGGCACGGGCGCAGGGGGAGCAGCAACAGGGGATTAGAGGGGAGGGGAGAGGAGGGGCAGGGAGGCAGGCTGTTGGGAAGTCCCCATCTGGGGAGGCTGCTAGGGCGGCAAGACGTGCTGACTCAGCACCTGCGGATGCTGACGTGTTCAGGTCGTTTATCCTAGGCTGGCCGTATGCTGACGTGGAGGAGCGGTTTCAGATGGGAGGGGAGGTGCTGGCACCACCAGGCTCAGCACCCCTAGGCTCCGCACGCTCAGGCTCAGCACCCCCAGACGCAGCACCCCCAGGCTCAGCACCCCCAGAGACAGCACCCCGAGCAGGACCACCCCCAGCAGGACCGGAGTCACCAGTGACCTCAACAGGCGCAGGCACAGGAGGGTCTACCTGAGAAACACCTGAAGAAGTAGGACCTGGCGCGGGGAGGGGGTCTACCTGGGGAGGACCTGGAGCGAGAAAGAGCGGATGGGGGGGGGGGGGGGGGGGGGGGGCGAGCGGCAGTGCGGTAGGGAAAGAGACGGTAAAAGGGGACCGACTCGTCGAAGGTGACGTCCTGAGACGCAAAGACACGGCGCGAGGCGGGGTCGTAAAACTGCCAGCCAGGCGCGTCAGGAGGAAAACCAAGGAAGACGCAGGGAATGGCGCGAACGCGGTGGTATCACGGACAAAGGCACGAGCACCCCAGACTTAGAAGCGCGACGCATCGCCAACCTCCCCCGTCCACAGCAGTGTGGGCGAGGTCTCCGGCAAGGAGACACGGGGCCAGAGGTTGAGCTGATGCGCGGCGTACCGGACCGCAAACGGCCATAGAAAATGGGGGGCAGCCGCATGGATCATGGAGGTACGAGCGACCTCCATGACTAAGCCAATGCAGCGCTCAGCAACCCCATTCTGCTGCGGAGAGGCCGGAAGCGTGAACGACTGCGGAGAGACCTTCTCCCCCACCCCAAAGATGACCACTCTTCGGGTGCTGCTGCACATAGCCGCTCAGCGTGACCACGAGCTTCACTCTCTTGACTTCAGCACTGCTTTCTTGCAGGGTAGTCTGCACGAGGAGATCTGGCTGCGCCGCCCTCCTGGCTTCACTGGGTCTTTTCCTCCTGGTACCCAATGGAGCCTCCGCCGACCGGTCTACGGTCTCCGCCAGGCGCCACGTGAGTGGCACGACACACTGAGGACTACACTTGCGGCACTTGGGTTCGCGCCTTCTACTGCTGACCCGTCGCTGTTTCTGCGCACAGACACTTCGTTGCCGCCGTTCTACATCCTCGTGTACGTCGATGACTTGGTCTTTGCCACTGCTGACACTGAGGCTCTTGCCCACGTGAAGTCGGAGCTGCAGAAGAGACACACGTGCACAGACCTGGGTGAACTGACAAGCTACCTTGGCTTGCAGATCACCCGGGACAGAGCACGGCGCACCATTACCTTGACTCAGTCACACATGGTGCAGAAGGTCCTTCAGCGCTTCGGTTTCACGTACTCCTCGCCTCAGTCCACTCCTCTGCCTACCGGTCACTCGCTCTCAGCTCTGCCTTCGGATGAGTCCGTAGAGCCGAGTGGCCCGTATCCAGAGCTTGTGGGCTGCCTCATGTACCTGATGACCTGCACTCGTCCTGACCTTGCATACCCTCTTAGCATCCTTGCACGCTATGTCGCTCCTGGCCGTCACAGGAAGGAGCACATGGATGCCGCTAAGAGGGTGTTGCGCTACTTGTGCAGTACGTCGGGCATGGGGCTAGTGCTTGGAGGGCGAGACCGAGTTGTTCTCACTGGACACTCAGACGCTTCTTGGGCGGACGACCAGGCCACGCAGCGGTCGTCTCAGGGCTACACCTTCAGCCTTGGCTCCGGTTCAGTTTCTTGGCGTTCTACACGTTCTTCTTCAGTTCTCAGCTCTAGTTGTGAGGCTGAGATCTACGCCACAGCCATGGCGGCCCAGGAGCTACGCTGGCTCACCTACCTGCTGACCGACTTGGGAGAGCGGCCTCGTTCTCCTCCAGTGCTGTACGTCGACAACAAGGCTGCCATTGCCTTGTGTGAGGAGCACAGACTGGAGCACAGAACGAAGCACATCGCTCTGCGGTACTTTCTGGCTCGTGAGCTGCAGCAGCGTGGTCAGCTTTGTCTGCGTTACGTGGCCACTCAGGCCAACACTGCTGACGTGTTCACCAAGGCGCTTCAGCCTTGTGACCATCAGCGCTTCTGTACTCTTCTAGGCCTTGTGCCTACTGGACCTCACTTGCTTACTTCTTGACTTTGCTTGTACTGTGATCTCTATATATATACCTGCATGCTTTCACTTGCTAGGTTGTGATCACTGTACCTCTTGCTCTACTATCAAACTGCATGTGAACTGGTCTTGTGACCACTTGCTTGTGCTCGGAATTTGTGTGGTATCCCTTGAGATCCACCCTGAGCTTGCTTGTGCTTTGCTTTGCTCTGACTGGTCTTGTGACCCCTTGTTCTCCCCCACTTTGCCTATGGGGGTGTGTCAAACATTATATCTGTTGTTGTTGTTTAGGCTACAGTGGGTTAGCCTTTAGGGGGTACACAAATTCTAGGGTTGCATATTTGTACTCACATTCTTGCTAGTCATTCTCATTCCTGCCAGTTAGTTTCAACACCTCTGTGGGAGGGAACGAGGAGGAGTGAGGAGCGGCGCGCTGCCGCCCCTCGACGCAAGGAATGCAGGGCGGGGCAGGCGAGGGAGGGAGGGCGGGCAGAGACCTGGGAAGACCAGAGACCAGGAGGCGAGAGTGCATGCCACGAAGACGCTGCAGGGAGGGGTGACCAAGGCGGTGGTGCCAGAGGAGAGTCTGGTGCGACAGGCGGCGACACTCACACTGGGTAGCTACCTGAGTGGACTCGTACAGCTGAGGAGACACAGGGGCGTAGCGCGACACAGTGGTGAGGGTGTACAGACTGGACCCTGGCGCACGTGTGAACGTGGCCAGGTGGCGGCCAGTCCTAGAGCACGTACAGATCGCCACACGCTGTCCTCCAGGAGTAAAGGTGTCAACCCAATGATCCTGAAGGACGGCGTTGCTCACCAGGTTCGTAGAGAACGAGGGGATGTGGAAACCTGACAGCTCACCGGACGGGACCGCCGGACACGGGAGCACAGTACTGGACCGTGCAAGCACTGGGCCCCCAGAGGGGTCAGCCAGTGAGACAGGGACAGGTGCAGGGAGGGGAGTGACTGTGGTGCTGTCGCGAAAGAAACAGCGGGAAGCACCTGAGTCAAGCGTGAAGGTGTGCAAAGCCTCAGCAGGCGCAGTACCAGAGAGAGCAGACTCACTAGTACCTAGGCAGTGCGCGGGGCTGCAGGGCAGCGCGACGGGCAGCGGCAGGGCGCGCGCGGGGCTGCAGGGCAGCGCGACGGGCGGCGCGCGGGGCTGCGGGGCAGCGCGACGGACAGCAAGGCGTGCGCGAGGCTTTTGGCGAGCGGGGCGCTTGCCAGCGAGGGCGACGCGGCGCAAGGCAGGGCAGGGTAGGGCAGGCCAGGCAGGGCGCGAGGTAGCACGGTTGTTGGGCTGAGACAGCCCTTAGGATCTTTGCAAGGGTAAACTCTGGGTAGAGATGATGTAATAGCGGAAGCGTTTAATAAAGAAGTTGTGAACCACCTTGCGCTGGTATGTGAGGGCAAAGTAAGTTGATTAAAGCAAGCAAGTACAAAGATTTATATAAGAGTACAAGGAATACGAAGAGATACGACTGATAACTATTTTTCCTTTTGCTGTTGCGGTTCGATACAGTGCGACTCGGGCAACTGCTCAATGTCGAGTCAGTTGTGTGTCCTTGCTGTCGCGCTGTATTTGTCAGGTCAAAGGTCGCTGACCTTTGACTTTCGCGTAACCTCCAACAGTTACTTTCAACCTCCGAGGGTTAACTCGTGGGTGTCTCGTTATGATTTACTTCGCTTCTGGTGCGGTGTTTCGACACGACAGAGGCGCTTACGACTTGTTGTTTCCAACACTCCCCTTCGCTTCTGGAGTGTCGTTGCTGATGACGTGGCTCTGTCCAGTCAGCAGCATGCAGTACTCGAATTTCTGTTTTCCGAGCTTCTTGGTCAAGTAGTCAGCTGCCATCTCTGACGTGGGACAATATGACAACTCGAGTCTCCCCTTCTCGATCTCGTCCTTTACGAAGAAATAGCGTAGGGCGATGTGTTTCGTCCTGTTCGCGAAGCCGTTTTTGTTGGCGATGCGAATTGCCGACTGATTGTCGCAGAACAGGGTGAAGTTGGGTAACTCGGCTAATTTCGCTTCTTCCAACAGTTCGCGAAGATAAAGTCCTTCCTTGGTGGCTGAGCAGAGTGCGATATATTCTGCTTCGGCTGAAGAGAGGGCGATTAATTCCTGCTTGCTCGACTGCCAGGAGATAGGACCGATAGGCTCGAAGCGGTAGATGTAGCCGGTGCGTGAGCGCCTGTTGTCGGAGTCGCCAGCGT